TTGCTCATGATCCACAGGAACTTCCCTCCCTCTCATTGCAAAGTCATATTCTTTTCCCCTCCGCTACTACAACAAAATGGAGACAGTAAAGGAAAAAAACGCATCTCTCGAGAAAAAAAAGAGGGGGAAAATAAAAATAAAAATCTGCATGCCACTTTTTCATTGCCAGCATAGAGCGGCGCCCCTCTCTGCTGGCTGCACCGCGAGCGTGAAGCATGGGCATGCGATGACACATACTTTATTCCAGTCTGTTACACACACAATCTGCCGCATTACGGGCGGGGGCCGCACACTGCCGCACACCCGCACCGCGCCGTCACGAGGGGGAGCAGAGGACGTGCAGAACACCCTCGCCCACCCTTCCATGGTCGGGGCAAAAAATGGGAGGAGGAAAATATATACGCACGCATGCGGACGCAATCGCGTTAATAACAAATAATTGTCGCGATTCCGGTGGTTTGCGCGTCACAAATCGGTCGTCCGTCGACTCTTGCTGTGTCTTTGCAATCTCCCGGTTAGTTCTGCGCCACAAATGCATAACAATTTTTTTTTGCAAACTGGACCGAGTAAATATATCGCAGGCCATAATGCAGTCGGTGAGGAGGACTGCTGCACTGTCGTCGGTTGACGCCCCCCCCCCCTCCTGTGCATTTTCATACACAAGGGCGATGAAAGCTCCCTCCCCCTCTTTGACAGCCCCCGGCCTGTGCGGATGTCAGCCCGAGGGGGCGTGGCGAGGCAGAGAGACGGACAAGAAGCGCGACAGGCAGGCAGGCAAGCAGGCAGGCCGCACCACGAGATAAATGATAGCACGTCCCGTTCCGGGCAGAAGATGATGTCCCCGCGGGACGGAGGGGAAAAGCGGAGGGAGCGAGGGACACGCGGGAGCAGCGACACAGAAGGGAGAAAAGAAACGCAAACACTTATTCACCACATTCCTCGCTGCTACATGCCCCGCGGGCACGGCAGACAGATGGGACAGGCAAGGCAGGCAGGATCACAGTCGGCCGTGCATGCATTGTGGATGTGGGGGGGCTCCGGGCTGCTCCGGGCTGCTCCGGGGGGATGGAGGCTATGCGACACCGTGAGCCTGCTGCTCAGAGTTCGAGATTCCACCCCCACCCCACCCCCACTCCTCTTCTCTGCTCCACCCACGCGCAGTTTTCCTCGTACTC